CCCCCCCCCCCCCCGCCGCCGCCCCCACCAGTCCTTTTCACTAGAGAAACAGGAGCAAAGCCAAGGGGTCACCCCAGCAACACCCACAGGCCTGCTTCCAACTTCACTGAGAGTTGCTCTAGGGAGGGGCAAGAACTGGGTGCTTCAATGGAGCTCCAGGCTAATCCAGCAGCAGCAGGAAGAGTGGCGGTGGGAAGAGAAATAGGTTCAAGAGGGGGGATTCACTGCCAACCATCTCGGGGCCCCTAAAGAAAAGTGGAGCCACCTCAGGGCTGTCCCTCAAGCAGCCCCAAGTGCTGGGAGGCAGGGGGAGCGGTTCCCAGCCAGGACAGGCTGGCGCCCAAGCCACTTGGGCCAGCTTTCCAACAAGCTCCTTGATCATCCAAGAGGAGCCACTTTGATGATTTCTGGGCATCAGCCTGCAAGGGTGGCACAGAGGGGGCAGGGCCTCAGCTGGAGGAATGGCCTCTTGGGCTGGGTAAGGGTGCCCTGAAGCTGAAGTGGGGGCTGCCAGAACTCAAGTCTCTTCTTCTGCTGGGAGGGGCAGGATGATGCTGGATGCTGGGCTTTTGGTAGAGGTTTCGGCGAGGGGGGCAGGATGTTCGTTTCACACACACGCACACCCAAGTCCTTCTCATCATAGGCCATGTCCAGGGCCAGTTTTTCGCCGAATTTTTTCCAGTGAAGCCAGTTGAAGTCCTCAGGAGGGGAACCTCAGACCAACCCTTGTTCCCCTTATGGACCGGTGACGACGGATCTATCTGGTCATCATTGGACAGACACGGAATGTCACATTTCCTTACCTTGGATCCCCCCCCCCGGGAAAAAAAGCAAGCATACACACACCCTTTTCGTATGGGTGGGGTCAGGGAGAGACTAACATGTTGCGCGCCCACCGTATCCCGGGAAATGGGCCTCAGCAATGCACCCGAAAGACACGTCACCTTCCTGGGAGCTGCCTTGGGCCAGGGGCTTGGGGGGCTTGCTTCCGCTCACCTTTCCTGCTGGGCTGCTTTGGATGGGACGCCCCCAGGAGGCCAAGACTGGCCTGTGGCTTGGAGCAATCCAGTCCCTTCCCAGCCCAGAGCCGTCCAAGCTGGGGGTCAACGCTCATCTGTGAACAATGGCCCCAGGCAGAAGGAACCGGGGCCCACAGCGCCCATCGTCCTGCCTTCCTTTCCGGGGGGGGGGAGGTATGGCACCTGGAGGAGTTGATGGCTGCGGGTAGGTGGGTGCAGCTGCTAAGCGAATAGGACGGGTGCAAAGGCGGGCATCTTCCGAAGGAACCGTGGGAGGGATGGGCAGTGTCCTTGGGGCTCTGGTGCAGAGAACAGATTGGAGGCTTGTGGGCTTTTCCCTTCCTATGTTAGCAGCTGTACATGTGCACACATGCACACTCTCCCCCCGCCCCCAAAAGCATATTCTGCCTGGCCCTGTTTGGCAGGATCCATTCCACAGAGACAGCAGCCAGGGTGACCGCGACATCCCCACACACAGAAGGCAGAGCCTCTCAGGTTTGTGCCTCTCAGCCGCAAGGCTCCTGCTGGAGGAGAAACAGGAGGGCGAAACTGGCACGTGCAGCATCTGGGCCTTTGCTGGGGGGAGGCTCCCGGGGCTGGGCAAAGCGGAAAGGCAG